CTAATAGTGGCTTCATCTAGCTCTCCAGCTAGGTAGTCTTGAACAATTGAGGGTTCTGCTGAATGGAAGGGTAGTTCTGCCGAGCTCAGCCGAGAGTGTGAGAGCCAACCCTGAAACCAGTAGGGATCCCCTAAATCAGGAAATCAGTGAGGGATGTATCTGGGAGGCTGGTGAAGTACAATCGCCAGACCTCTGGGGGGAGGCAACCTAACTGGCAGAGATGCCTGCTGGCTTAAGGGCCATTAGATTAGACGTATAAGGATAGTGGCTCAGAAGCCATGGAGAAGTGCCTACAATAATGGAGTTGAAAGATCATTAACCTAATACACATTAAATAATTAAGTGATAATCGTGAATAATAGAGTCAACGTCTTGGACTCAGCTTAGGAGTTGGATGGAGCTAAGAAGTGGAGGAAGGTGACTTGGCTTTAGCCTTCTCTTTACTCTCTATACAATCAGCTGCTGGATGCCCTGCAAGCACGTAGAAAACGACATCTGTCAAAGGAATAAGGACAGATTCCAGCATTGTAACAACAACAAATCTATAGGGGAGTCCTGTTATTGGGCTTGGGGCAGGACAGAGTTTTGCTTTGCTGGTCAAGGGCACAGTTAGCCCTTTACAGGACCAAACCCAAGCACTGAGGCGACGTAAAAGAGGGGTTTATTTCCGACCAACTTAGGGTTGCTCCAGCCACCACCTGCCGAGCAAAACTATGGTCATGTTTGAGCCGGAGCCCCCGTGAGACTGAGCCAGCTGAACAGGCTATATGCGACCCACCTACAAAGCCTAGCATTAGGAACTATTACAGCAATGTTGGACAAAGTACAAGAGATCCATAAGAGGGTATCAGAAAAATGTCCCTCATCCAGGACAGAGAAGTGGCGCCCTGGACTGGGCCCAGCTCCCTCAAGTGGGAGGCCAAAGCTACTTTGTCAGGCAAAAACCTTCTAAATTCAATGAATAATTTTCTAGAAATCTTGTCCACCGCCTTCCCGGGGATAGGGAGTAAGGTCGATGCTGAAGCCAGGAAGGAAGTGGCAGATGAGGCAGGAGCTGAAGAGAGAGCCATGCCTAGCAGCTTGGAGGGGGGCAGCTCAGAAGTAGCCGAAAGAGAAGCCCTGACATGGAGGTGGGCACATCTGAGTGGACCTGCACCATCAGAGACTGATGAGATACCAGCTGTGTCAGACAAACCACCTGACTGACCCCGGAGACGGGAGCAGAGAGGTTAAATGAGCTGGGAGCAGAGAAGGGACCACTACGAGGATAAACACCTAGATTTTGGAAATTTCCCTAAACGAGGGAAGTAGACAATGAAGAAAAAAATTGAGCCCCATGAAGGGAAAAAGCAGCACATGAACAGGCCTGGGAAAAAAGACAAAGGGGAGCAACAAGCATAAAAAAAAGGCAAGATCCTGCCAACTTTGCCGCTGCTGCCTGGTAGGAGTAAGAAGCACCATGACGTCTGGATAGACACAACAGTGGAGCTGCCACTTGTGGAGCTGACACTGACTGGTAGCAGAAATGAGATACGGAAAGCAAAGACAACTGCAATGAGAACAGATAAGAAAATTGAATAAAAGCATTGCTCAGGTCACACGAAGAGGTGATGACCCTGATAGTTAATTGATCACAAGGAGAAAGACTTCTGAAGTCAACAAAGAGGAATTGATGGAGGTCACAAAGTGCAACCACAGAAACTCCCCCATAGGAGGGCCAGTGCCACAACAGATATAAATAAAATTTCTTCATGAGTCAGAAGAAAGGGAGCTTATAGGCTGCAACAGACAGGGGCTGCTAGCATTGGACACTGCTAGAAGCATGACCCCTGATCGTGAGAATGGGAATATGGCATAGGGGTAAGCGGTCCCTGGGGCCACACTGGCAAATGGCCACCTAGAAAAGACTGGAGTGACAAAGAACAACACCAGTGGGAGATGAAACTCCTACCAAAGAGACCAGTGAAAGGGATTGGGAAAGGCTAGATGACTCTGATGGACGGTGCACCAGCCTCTCCTGTAGACTGCAATCTAATGCGGCCCTCTAACACACCACCACTCCCTCACTCTCTCTGAACATCATTGCACACACCCTCTCTCTCTGTGGGTAAGGCCAGATATTACAAGGGGCCCCAGCCTTCAATGAGACAGTTGACCCCGACCACTCCCCTTGAGGAAGGGAGAGATAACAGCTTCATTCGGTGTGCTATATTTTGTCTTTGAGAATTTATACCTTTACAATTGCATACTCTAAGTCTGTGAGAGCTTCTCTTCTGTTAAGAAAAGTCTTGCTTTACTGCTTTGAGATGTTCAGAGGGCAGCTCTATGTAGTACAACCTTTTCAACTCATGAGAAAATGCCCAGCAATAGCGGTAGTACTGTGGCAGTAAATGAGACTCTTTTCCAGTAGATCAAGACTAGTTATTCATTTAATGTCTGAGACTCTTGAAATCTTCCTTGTTGGTGAGTTATAGCTACTCGAATTTCATCCTGAGTGATGTACTTGAGCAGCAGCTCGCTTGTCTAAGGATCCTAAAGTCTCTTAAGTCAATCTATGTGGGCAAAAGTACTTTTGCCATTATAACATCATAATTGTGTTTAGAAGAAGAGAAAAACATAAATCTTATTTCTCTCTTGCTGCATTATTGATAATTAATGCCACGCCTCCAAGCTTGGAGTTGCTGGAGCCTGGAGCTGCCAGCATGCTAGAGTAAGTGTAACTGCAGCTAGGAAGTAGCTATTATGATAATCCCTCAGCCTCAAGCTCAATTTTTTGTATAGTAGTCTTTGTTTTTGATAGATAGTAGCCACATCAAAAGCTGTAGTTTTTAACAAAACCCCACAGTATCGTTTTTTAAAATGAAAGCTAGTGCATTAAATACAATAAATATACTGGCTTGGTCTAGCTAAGCCAAACCTCCCAAACAGCTTTAGGGGCTAGGCCATGCACCTTTGGTGTCTCATTGTAGCAGGTATTTAGCAACGGATATTCTAAACTCAGGAAGTGGCATGCAACTTGCTATTTCTTTATTGAAGTGTTTGCAAGCAATTACAAAAGCCACTTCCAGTAAATAAAAAAACAGTCTTCTGCACCATTTCTTTGACCTACATGTAGATACGATGTCAAATTATAACAAAAATGGTTATGATTTGCCTGTGTGAATAGCAGTAATACTTTATCAATTGATCATTGTGATCTACACGACCCATGTATTGGTTGCTTTTAAACCATTTTTGGTTGCTTTACAACCTCAGTTCCTCCATCAGCCTTTCTGGTTCTCCTTCTTTTTTGTATTATGAAAACTTAGACAACATTGTTACAGTTCTTTTAAAAGATTTGGCCGTTTTAGGCATGTAAGCTTTCCATCCTCTGTTCTTGTTGGTTTTATTTCACCTTGGCTATAAGTCAATTCTTATTTCTTTGTTTTAGGATATACCTTTGGCAACTTGGCATTTCTGAAATTCATTTGACATCTCTACTCTGTGTATGCGAACAGTACCACAAGCTTCAAATCCATTGTAACATAGCTCAGAAAACAATGTAAGTGAAGTATAAAAGTTGCCTGTATAGACATAATAACCCTTCCCTTCAAATGAGACAAAAGTGAAGTGACAGCAATATGAGCCAATATCTTATGTAGATCACTATCTTTGTCCTTTCCTAATTGAAACAGCTAAAGGTAACAATTGTCACGTGATAATTTTACCTGTATACACTTTCACATTACAGACATATCCATTTTAGGTATCAGCGAGTGTCCAAGTTTTTATGCCCCACTTTGTGGGTTTTTGGGCATAAACTGTACCCATGACACCCTCCCTTTGAAGCCCACACTTGACTCATCTATTGATAAGTTTTGATTGGGTGTGTAGTGGCGTTGAAATACCATCACAAGTTTGTCCAAAAGTGGCCTAATTTTGTATAACTTGTCAAAATTTGGGCTACTTCTAGATGGCATTTTGAGGTAGTCATTTTAAGTGCAAGTTTGACACGAGCACTTCAAGCCTATGTCCTGACATTACTGACAAGTTGTCATTGTAGATGGGCCACCTTTACATCAGTGGCAGAGGTGGTGGAATGGGGTGGGCTGAAGGGCTAAAGCCCCCGGCCCCTTCTTGAAACAGAAGGGGCAGAGCCCACCCAAAAATTCTCTGCTACCTTGAGGTAAAACTAACTTTTATCAGTAAAGCTAGACCTACGGTCATCATTTCTTCATCTTATTTAGAGAAAAAGACAAAGAAAACCACTCTAAATTCAACAGTACAAACAGCAACCTTTTTTTGCATAAAACCACACCCATTTCAATAACTTAAATCCGAATTCAGCCCCCGAAAATATAAATGATGTTCCACCGCCGAGATATTAAAGTTTACAGGGATAGGAAACTTCCAATTGTGGTTTTATTATTCCCATTGATTTCATATTGTAGCCTAGCAATGGGACAACTCTGATGCTCTCGTCCCTATTTATGCAGCCCAAAAATTAGGCAATTAGCTGTCTGGGCTGATATTTTCTACTGTTTCTACCTGATAAAAGCCTTTTTCAAAGATTTGATGTTGCGTTATTATTGCTCTAAAATAGTGCTTAAAAATAAACTGTGATAGACTAGTGTGTCAACTTTATAAAACATCACATCTTCATGAAATGATGCCGAAATTTTTGTGTTACATTTTAACATCTGTATCTCAAACACATTTCTAAATACTTCATGACTAGCAAGGTAGACCGATTTTACAAGCAGTCCTCAAAGTCTTCCAATTTGAAGCAGTCCTGTGCGTCACTTTGGTGATGTTTTACACATAAATAAAGCAAATTTGCTGTGTAATTTATTTTATGAATCAGTGCAGTAATAGTATTGTTGCAGTTTACTCAAAATCTATTATCCTTTTTTCAAATCTTATATAATATCATGATGGGGGCAGTACAAGTAGCACATTATCCCTCAGGTGAATCTCAGCACGTGAGTCCACGCACCATAGTGCTTCATTGATGGGTGCAGCCTCATGTTGGCCATTTGGTTGGCAAAAAAGCCTATGCGCACGAGCAAAGCCATGTGTATGCAGGTGTGTTTGTGAGCAAGACTACAATGTGGAGTGGATACTTACAAGACCTAAGTTCAGTAGCAAGGCTACGCTATAAGGATAAGGTGTCCAAAACTGGTCTTAAGGTGGATCTTTATTCTATAAAAAATTCTGAATGGGAAAAAAGCTCAGAATTACTGCCAGCCATATCATGGAGTGATGTAACAGTGTACATGATATCTACTATAAGTCAATATACAGGAGAAGCATAAAGGTATAATATGATGTAAATTAATGATAAATTAAATAAGACATGGAAAGGAATGCTGGATTCAGAAGGGTTTGTTACTGCTGGATTGGTTCATGATTTGTTACTGCACAGTTTTGATGTCAGTTATCTGAGAAAGTTTGTAATAAAAGCAATGGTAGATTTTTTTAATGCATATGAGTTTTTGTATTACAATTACATGTTTGCAGGTTGATCACAGTCAACAAAGCTCCTGTACACCATTGTTGCCATGGGTAGTCATTGAAGAAGACGGTTCAGTTGCTCCTGCACACTGCACTTGCATGGCAGGGTATGTACGTTGTGCAACATTATTTATGTACATAAAATTTATACATTAAGTGAATCATGCTCACATGAGACAGCACTCTTAACAACTGTAGTGAAGGCGGCAGATTGTTGGAAGCAAACAGGATTAAATTCATGCCCTTCTAGGGCCTGCTACTGGCTACCAACTCCAACCAAAGTAAGAAGAAACAAGTCAATGCTTTATATTATACAACATATAGGTTACTGCAGCTAATATCAGAAAAATGGCAAAATTAATGATACAACAAGTAGCCCATCATCAAAACACCGTAGACTAAAAGGAGTTAGAGTTCCTTCATCAGAAAATGAAATGGATTCCGTTTTACAAAAATAAGTAAAGGAAAGGAAAGGCCAGTTATTCTTAAAATAACAATGCCTTATGCTGAAGAATTTATTCCCAGACTTTCTGACACCCAATTTCTATCACCCATTACAGAGCTATACAACCCTAAGATGTTGGATTCTGATTATATTGAGCTATTGTCTGAATGTGATATTGTTTTTTCAAGAGCTTTAGGTATGCACAATAAAGATATGAATCATTTTCTATATGCAAAACTTTATAGATTGTGGAAACTGAAGCAGCTCTACTGGAATTGGAGACGAGAGGTCAATCTTCTAAAAAGTTGTGGTTTGTATTCCGTTCAGGCCGACTGACAACTTCATTTATCAGAAAGGCTGCAATAACAAACCATGCTTCACCATCTCAGAGCCTAATTAAGAGGATATGTTATCTAGAGTTGTTTTAATTTTCTACAAAATCTACTTGGTATATACAATTAATGGATACAATATCATTATTTTGATATTAAATATTTGTAGATGGGGCTGTGATCATGAAAAGGAGGCCCTCACCATGTTTGAATCTATTGCCAATGAAAACCATATTGATTTAATAGTTAAGGCTAATGGTTTGTTTATTGATCTTTGCCATCCATATATTGGCGCTTCTCCTAATGGCATAGTAAGCTGTTCATGCTGTGGTAAAGGAGTTCCTGAAGTAAAGTGTCCTCATTCTGTCAAAAAATCGTTTCCTGAAGACAGCAAACATTCTTTTTGCATGGAAAAAGGAAGTGATGGAAACTGGACTTTGAAGCGTGAGCATTCATATTACTATCAAGTCCAAACTCAGATGCATGCATGTAATCTTGAATACTGCGATTTCATAGTATGGTCAGAATCAGATGGAAAACTAATAGATCGCGTGTACAGAGATAATGATTTTTTTGATAATATTATCAATGACCTGCAACATTTGTTTGTCAATGGAGTACTTCCTGAAGTAGTGGGAAAGTGGTATTTAAGGAAGCAAGCTGCAAATTCAAGCAATGCATTAGTAGCTCCTGATCCACTTCCTTATGAAGACGATGAAGACAATGAAGACTACAATAAAGTTTGTTGCTACTGCAATCAGCCAAGTGATGGAGATATCATACTTTGTGACAAATCGTGTCACATCAAATGGTTTCATTGCAATTGCTTAAGGATGCGCAAAGTCCCAAAAGGCATTTGGAAGTGTCTCAGCTGTAGGAGGTACCCATCTCTAAAAAATTATAGCCAAACCCAGCAAACAAACTGAGAACCAATCTCTTATTAATCAATAATTAAATTATTCTTATTAGCTATTTTTTATGGAGTACATACCATAAATTTAAGAAAAATCATTTTAGTCTTGGGATACAATGGAAGGACAAATTAACTAGAGCACAACATGCATGAACTATTTTGTCAATAACTATAACATTTGTATCACCACATGTGCTTGCCTCACAATACTGAACTGGCAACATATTCTGTAGAATAGTGTACTTTTGCTTTAGTATACCAATCACTCGTTCAACGTTCACACGCACAAAAGACAATTCCCTACTCCAGTCAACATCATATTTCTCTAATTGCTTTTACCTTGGTAAAAGGGGGCACTTTGATTTCGGCCATATACATACCTATGTGATCTTGGCAGGTAAACCCCCGATCAGCCAATATAACGTCACCTATAAAAGTTAAATGGAAAAATACAGATGATTGCATAGCAGTTTCTGCTTCATCATTTATTTGCAATGAACTAATGTACCTGGTAGCAGATAGCTGACAAGGCTTGACTGCTCAACTAATGACAACTATCTCCTTGTCAGAAATTTGGCCACCTGCACATTTAGAAATATAGGAAATAGTACCCTGTGGAGTTCTACCAATCAAGAATTTTATCGTCAAATAGTGCTGATAATTACTCCAAACTTATGCTCTCGCCATCAAGTCACTTGGTTGTTCAACAAAATACTTCAGAGGAGTCAATGATAACAGCACACTTTTTATAAAATTTACGAAATGAAGTAGGCATGGTTAATCTTGAAAGGTGTCAATCAGGCCACTTAATAAGTGGTTTTTTTTAACATAAACTATGTCCAAAACATTATAAAAATGCTTTGACATTAATTTGGCCTTTACTGAGACTAAATCGAAAAGCAAGATCCTCTATGCCATAGCTAAAACGAACTCTCAAGAACATCATCAAGTTATTTAACTTAGACAGTTTAGGCCCAACTGGGAGATCAGACTCAACTAAGTCATACAGTGCTTTGAAAACATCCCAGTCAAGAATACCTATAAATTGATGGTTACAATATCATGGCCGGGAATGAATTATACCTGTGATGCGCTTTAAAACAATTGGCACATTTTGCAAGACATCAAAGTCTGATACTAAGAGTCTACCCTTGACTTCTTTGAGGCCTGCATCTGGATTGCTAAGTTGTTTCTTCAGTGCTTTGTTCTCTTGCCTTGCTTCAACCAGTTCTTCTAAAAGTTTGGTAATATGGCTTGAAGTCATGTCAGTTTGACAAGCAGAAGCACAACCATCATTATATGCTCACCTTCTCCTAGAAAGATAAAAATGAATGACTCTTATAATAAACAATCAGATCTCAGCAACTGACCTATACTTATACAGGTATCATTTATGGAAGATGATGTCTCATGCTGCATCACAACTTGCTCCATTCTATTAACATCATTAAGTTCATATCTCCTTTCACAACGGGCCTTAAGTCTTTCATGATGTTCATGAGCCTTAAAAATATCAGTGCAATCAAGATCAAATCCTAGCTTTAGACTTGGAGCCCAGTCACGATCCAAATGATCTGATGATGGTGTGCCTAGTAATATCATCATTGATCATGCTAAACCTACGGCAGTTCTAACCTGATAAGAATTGGTCTGAGCAAACTCTGTCATGGTCACTGGGATACCAGTCTTTACAATTAATTCTAGATAGCCTCTTTGCTCGCCTACATCATATGGGGTGCGATTTGTGTCAATATTAAAAAACTGAAGATTTACTTTTACACCATGACATTTACCATTAAGCCTAGTAATATATAACAAATCACCATTGATATTTACTAAATACTTCCAATTGCAATAAATCACCACTGACATATCTTCTAGTCTTCATAAATCATTACTAATATTTACTAAATTCCCTTTTATAGTATGAAATCATTGCTGATTTGGTTAATTATGATTCATTTTTATAAATCAAATTTGATTTTGGCACTCAACAATAAAATTAATAACCACTCAAGGCCCGCCCATTTTACTTGGAACATGTAAGATGGCAGGAGAAGCGCAACTACCTCTGGATCTACCTCTAGACAATCTACCTCTACTGGAAGAAATGGTAATGCTGACCTACAATCTACCTTGACTGATGCTATCAGTGCTGTCTTAATACCAGTAGTATGCCAGGCTCAGAGCAACGTTGGTAATGTGACTGGCAGCTCGTGGTTACCACCACCTGATCTAGATCTTGGGCGAATATCTTCGTGGGGATCAGCTGCCACAAGGATGAGATCCTCAACCTCTACCAAGTGCTTTTAATCTGACTCTGATTATGACGACTTTGTAAATGATTTCGTGGAAAGATAAAGGTATGGTGTGAGTGTTGTATTTCTTGTTCTTTTTAGGACGTGGGGAGTCTATGTCGGGATCTTTCGGGAGATTCTCTTCAATACTTTTCACAAAAGATCTCTTCTTCAAAAAACAATGACTCAACTGAGCATGTTCACAAAATTATTAATAATGAATAATAAATTAATTGCATAATTAACTCTCTCACACACTCCCCCCTTGGCTAGTACCCACTAGTCAACCATCATACTATAATTACACAAACTACTAAGAAATAATAAGATACAAACAGCAATAATAATTGATAAGCACCATACATACACGTACAAATACATACACGTCCAGTTGTCCATAGATAAAGTTACTTTATAAGAGTGATTGAATCTTGATCTTGTCACGAGCCGACGCAGCTGCAGACCATTTGGATCTCCTTGGTGGTGGGTCTTCTGGCACTGTAGATCTAGCTGTAGGTCCCTCCTTTTCAGAAAGTGATTTACGGACATCACCTAAGTCGTCAGTCTCCTCTGGTGATAAATTAGAATTAGATTCCTCCAGTGGTGACTGCGTAGGCGGATCTCTTTTCACTTCAATAGGATATAATTTCTTAATTGGAAGTGTCTAGAGCTCCAGTAACTGGACACGGTATGCAGTGCTAGAGCTCCGGTAATAGTGGCTTCGCCCCTATATATATACTGGGGCTATACGCCCCAGTATTAATAATACACTGCTTTATTATAGAAACCAAGTATAAATACAACAACCAGCGTTGATGATGCAGCAGGGTTGTGGTAGTGCAGTGGAGAGGCTGGTGTGGATTGCACGGATGTGGTCAGCAGTTTGAATCTGGTCAGGACTACTGAGTGAAACTATGCTGCAGTTTTTGATTTAAAAAAAAACTTTTTATGCAATGTTTTCTTTTTTTGGCTTATTTTAGGTCAAGAAATAAACACCTTCTCATACATCTTAGCCTCCAGGGTCGTAGGGTTGGGATTGGGGTTTAGTGTTTAGTTTTTAGAGCACCCTCTCGTACATCTTAGCCTCTGGGACAGTAGGGTTTTGGGATTAAGGTTTAGTGTTTCTTGATAAAAAGACGAAGTTCCACTTTACACTATTGCGCATGTGCACAAGCTGTTTTACGGAGAAAAACGGACTGCCGGAGCTTTAGAAATTGCAAACTACGTCCGGTTACCGGAGCTGTAGACACAGCCTTTTTAATTGGCCTGTTAAGAAGTTTAGTGTTCTTCCGACCAGTATACACTCTTTCTACTGCTGCCCTGATCTCACCATCTCTACCAGGAGTCACTTCTTCAACTTGTCCTGTGTTCCAAAATCCTCTACGTTTATCTTCACTGTGTACCACAACTACATCTATATGTATCTGCTCTCTCATTGGTGACTGTCGAAATGTCATTTTATGTGTCTCACGGAGTTCTAAGAGATATTCCCTCTTCCAAGAGATCCAAAATTGACTAATGATTCGACTGAGAAAGGACATTCTCCTTGACAGCAATTGTGGAGTTCTTCCTCCTCATCACAGCAAAGATCTTGCTCAGAAAGACTAATAAGTCTGCGACCGATTAACAGATGAGATGGTGCGATTGGTTCCTCTAAATCATCCTGGGTGATATAGGACAGAGGTCGGGAGTTGATAATCATTACAACGTCAGTAATTACTGTGAGCAGTTCCTCATGTGTGAGCCGTGATCTTCCAACGATCTTCTTATGACACCTCTTAACTGAGCAAATTAACCTTCCAAAAACTCCACCCCACCAAGGCAATTTCTCAATATTGAAGCTCCATTGGATTTTATACTCAGCTAAGTAGTAACTGGAATCTTTGTGTTCCACGATTTCTCGGAGTAATTGAGCGGCTCTCTTGAATGTCTTTGCATTATCTGATAAAACTCTCCAAGGTAGACCTCTCTGGGCAATAAATCTTTTAAATGACCTACAGAAAAACTCAAGACATGTAATACATCTAAATGAATTGCCCTAGTAACACAACATGTATAAAGGCACAACCATACTTTTCAACCCACTTCATACTCACTATTCTTAACAAATAAGGGTCCATCAAAATCTATGCCAGTATAAGAAAATGGTGGCTGCTCCGTTACCCTGAGAGGGGGTAATGGAGGCATCCGTGGGACAGCATAAGCATGTCCTTTTAACTTTTGACATAATACACATGTGTATTAATGTCGTGACAAGAGCTCTTGCTCTGAGTACCCAATATTGAGTTCGTAGCCAATTTAGTGTTTCCTTCACTCCATTATGAAAAACTCTACTATGTGCCCTAAGCACAGAAAAATGATTTTTCCCAGGCAGAATAATTGGATGTTTTGTGTGATATGGAAGATCAGCGTTAGACAATCTCCCGCCACAATGCCAAACTCTATCTTTATAAACAAACAACTGCAGCTGAGCACTCCATTGCTTAAAACTTTTATCAGCTACCAGCTGCTTCTGTGTCTCCTTCTGATCAGAATTATTACCTTGCAAGCATACAACAGCAGCATAAGCTTTGACTGAAGAATCACAAAACCCAACAAGTCTACATTTTCTACTAGTATCGATCTCATTGAAATAGCACCTACGTATTGTAACTGGCTCACTGTTATGAATACTAGATATAAGCTCAGTCTAACAATCCAAAAAATGACCACTTATATCTTCATCCCATCCCACTTTCACGCAATGCAATCCTTGTAAAAGAGATTTGAAACATATAATAACAGGAGATACAAACCCAATTGGATCATAAATCTTGCTAACAATA